TGTTATGTAGAATATGAATTTTAGAACAACTATGAGTATACTTCAATTTTGCAAAATAAAAGTCTATGTTACTTTTTAGTACTTCAGCTACCTGCCATTAAAAGTCTCATAAAAATCGGTCCAGCCATTCAAGAGATTAGCCTGTACAAACAGACATCAGACAGACAAAAATTGTAAAAAATATTATTTTGGTATGTGTATCGTTATTTTAATATTACAAACATACACTCTTATTTAATTTATATGTATAGATTAAGTTTGATTCTACATTGTATCTGATTTGTAGGTATTATTACCTTTATCTATTCTGAAATATTGAAGCCGAGTGGTAACTGGTGATAGTAGAGCGTTGTAAAATATAATATCTTGTCTCCAACCCTAGCGTTCTTATGGGGTATCGCAGATAGGCAGCAAAGTACTTTAACCTTTTAGACTATAATATCCAAACCTACCAACCATCGGAGTCGCGGAAAACCTTACGGGTAACTGGGGCTCCGGCTCGACGTGCGAAGGGGCGTGCGACGGAACGGGGTGGTTTTTAGTCAGTTAGAGCCTGATACTCCCTCCCGCCTCATCCAGGCGCGAGCAGTCATTCGATGATTTTCCCCCTTAAAAAAAAATCAACCAACCACGATTTTTATCATAACTACACGATGCGACAAAGAACCCATAAAACAAAATAACAATAAAATTGTTAAAATCCCAGTATAATGACTAGCGGTATGAAGTGTTAAAACACCTGGAATTCATAATTTTTATATGAAAATGTCCAGTGTTCGGTGAACGTGTGCCGTTAGTAAAAAATGCTCGAGTACGCGGCATAATATGGAGAGGCATGCCAATAGCGGTAAAAGCATACTCTTTTAATAAAAATTGTTTATAGTACTTGTTCTAGCGTGGTTCTGTAGGTATTAGTGTTGTTCGTATTGGCTAGGGATAGGTGTACGTGCTAGATAAGTATCTGGATCAATAATGTTGAGAAAGTATGATATGAATATAATTTTTATACCTACATTCGTATGCCACTATTGGCGAAACATGGACGCACAACAAACTATTTAATATAATTTTACCATACCTATTACTGGAAGCAAGTATAACAGCTCACACATAGGATCCACTTAGATTTTAGTCAAATTTCCGTGGTGCTTGGCGACTGGGCTACACCCAGTTGTACTGTCTCTTTTCTTTGTGCCTTTAGGCTTAACCCTTTAGTTCGCAAGGAAAGTTATGGCTAAATTTGATAAATTTTTTTAATTATTCTGTCTAATTATATTACTAGTCAACTAAAAAAAATAAAATAAAAAATCAGAATTTACAGATTTTTCAGAAACAGGACGTTAAAAATACGTAACATCGCGAAGAAAGCGGTAATCAAGTGCCAAAAATGTATGTTTTGTATTTTTAACATTGCGAAGTTTACGGAGTATTAAAAAAACTGCTTACTGGTAGTAAAAATTTATTTAAATGCTTACAAAAATGAATTAAAAGGTAAAAAAGTAGTTGACAAATTAAGGACTACATTGTTTGATGCAACTTTCAATGTTCGTGAAACAATTTAAAACAATTACGTTTCTTTACGAAACACAGTCGCAAATTGCACTTGGAACAAATGACGTTGGTCATGCCTTTTTTACAAAATTTGCATCTACCAGGCGCTGTTATAAAGTCAGGCATATGCCCCACGTTGTCACGACGAATAGCGTCGGTAGGTCTCGGCCCAGATGGCTTTTGAATTTTATTAATTTTTGTGTTGAGAGTTTTTTCTTGAGATGTACTCGGAGCAGCATTGGGTCGTTGTTTTGAGAGCAGTTCGTAATATATCATAACACGAAATATTTTTAACGTGTTAGGCACTTTATTATAATGCATACAATCTTTTCTATACATAATCCATGCATTATTTACACAGATGTCTAATAGTTGTGAAAACAACGCCATGTACCACCTCTTAGTCTTATAATTAGTGCGATACAGTGATACTAACATATCGCACAAATCAACGCCCCCCATATGTGTATTGTAATGTTTAACTATTTGGGGGCAAGTTACATTTACCTTAGCCTTTGCTTCTTTCGCGAACCGCTTTATGGTCTCCATAGGGTACGAATCCACATACGAACTTGCTAACAAAACGGACTTGTTGTCATGCCATTTCACGAGACTTAGTTTATTTTCATTGCAAACTACTTGTTTGCTGGAACCTCGGCCTGTTTTTAACATTTCTTTATCACTAGGCAGTTTTTCTTGGCATCCTCTTAAACGGTTGGCTCTGATAGTGCCCAAAGAAAAAATCCCATATTCATGGCGCAACAAATGAATCAACTCGAGCGATGTAAAGAAGTTGTCAAAGAATACGACCGCTGGTTTATGTCGAATAGTTTGACAAAGGGCTATTACGACTTTGGCGCCAACTCCTAATGAATTCTCATATTCAGTAAAGGAATGGAATCTAAATGTATCTTCACCGCCGTAGGGAATTAAATCGTAAACGCAGCCCGATACTCCAGCCCTGACGAAAATCTTAAAACCCCACTTCTTAGGTTTATTTGCCACATATTGGCGCCTGTTGCCAGCTCTTGTGCCCTTATACGGCACCATCATTTCGTCGATACTATAGCGATGTTCCTCTTCTATTTTGAGACAATTTCGACGTACACCTTCTAAAATAGGCCGAATTTTGAAATAACGATCTTCATTTTGCTGAGAGTTGTCGACAAAATGTAAAAATTGACGAATTTGTTCGTATCGCTTCAAACTCATAACATCAGCAACCAGGCTGTAACGTAGATCCTTCTTCCAGTAGTCTCGATAAGCGGGCATCTTAACAACACCCATTAAAAGATTTATTGCTATAAAATCCAACAATTCTTCGCGAGTGATATTTACCGATTTCAGATTCCGCTGTACTGCGTATAAATTCGTATTTTGAATAATTATATCTATGATATCTGCACTAAAAAAATCAAAGAAGTAATCTAATGGTGATTTTGATTCGGAACCAAATTGTGTGAAGGTTATTTCATCCAGTATTGCACTGTGTTTAAATTTACCCCTTTCCCATTTAAAATGCAACGATTTTCTGACAAATGGTTTCTTTTTCTTTGTCACTAATTTCGGTAAAGTAGTTAACCTTTTTTTCGAACGGGTTATCTTGGGTACGGCAGAAGCTATTGGGCTCGGTGACAAGGATATAATAGATGATATTGATTGAAGTGCAGGTAAATGTTGTGGTGGGTTGTGCGTTGCAAGTACTTCAGATATAACTGGGGTAGGTGGTATCACATCTTCGGATAAAATATCCTCAAATGAATTGTCTAAAATATTCATGCGCTCAAATGAAGAATCTAGGGACCGGGGATCAGAGCTGTATTCTGTGTCATCAACTAATATGTTTTCTTGATCATCATCCGATATGCTACTATCGCTAGAGGAAGCTTCTCGTGGTGGGACTAGAGCCAGAATCTTCTTTATGCGTTCTAATCGCAGGTTGCGCTAAAAATAAATGAACAAAATATTCATGCAAACACCCTCAAACACCACTATCACCATAATAAAAGCAATAACATACATCCTACACCATATCGCAATGTTAGTTATTATTTACATTCAAAATCCCATGTCAATCACTATTGTTTTCGCAATGTTAATCATAGCTAACATTTAACTTTAACATGTTATAATGCATGCTATATTGCACTTCTTGTAATACCATGATTTAAAAACAATAAAATGCAATCTTATAAATAGAAATAACGCGATATTTAGGCATAAAATAAATATTTTACGTGAAAAAAAAATATTTTTGTACCTTTTGCGCGGGAGCAGACTGTGGTCGGGACGCCATTTTGCACCATAATGTCAAAATTGACAGTAAAATGACATGAATGATTATTTTATAGACACGTAGTGATGTCCGTCACTTACTAATTTAAAAAAACTGTAAGATAACTGGAAAATGAAGTTAGTAGAATTTTTGAAATGCACACGTTAAGTATACCTAACCTTGCGAATTAAAGGGTTAATTCATTCTGTCTCCTGCAGTAAGTTATTCATGTCCCTGGGTTCGTCGATCCTGGCTTACAGGAGTTGCAGCGGTTTTGGGAGGTTGTGGCGGGCTTGTCCCAAAAAAAACTATTTAATACCTTGCATGTCTGATTATTCTGTTTATGTAAATGCATGTTTGACAAATAAACGATCTTTCTTTCTTTTTTTCAAAGTGTAATTAGTTTCCATATTGTCATTGAATATGAAATTGTGTTACGTATTTGTTGAGATAGGAGTGTGTGTTTGTTTATATTTCTTCGCAATGAAGCGATTTTTGCAATTGAAAGTAAGAAAATGCTGAGACCGGAGAGTACGTGGACATAGAAATAAGTACAAGAACAAGTCATAAGGTTGAAACGTATTTGTCGAAAAATGAGTAAGGACTGAATACTATTGCGCCTATTAGGTTATTATAAATATCTGTGTTAAACTATCACCGTTTGATTGGGTTGATTACTACTATTTGAACATTCTCACAGATTAAATAATAATTATTTTATAAACCACGTTTAAAACGGACTTCAACCCCCCTCTTTTTACACCAGTTTTAGTTATACTTGGATGACCAAGTATAACTAAAACTTTTTTGAAAACCGCATCAAAATCGGTTCAGTCAATCGCGAGATAACAACGCACAAGCATATTTACTTACATACAGGTGAAACTGAGAACTAAAATTTTCTTTTTATAACTTGTAAGTGCATAACCAATATTGTACTGTACTCATACTGTACTCGTCGAACCGAATCAACGAGCATAACTAACAAAACAAAAGTCAAGTGAAAGTTTTCCAGGAACACACGGAACCCACCACTTTCAATACAACATACCGGAGCCCATAAATACAAAAGTACGTAAAAAAAAATATAAAACTGTTACATTGTACCGAAGATTTATTGTTCAAACTCCAACTGGTTAACTTGTTTAAAATATATTCTGACGGTCGAACATGAAAATGTATTTTATTCAGTTTGTTATTTGTCATTGCTATGTTATTTTATTGATTTTCGCTGTGGTACTTATACCTATAGGAACTTTTTGGTCCAATGAAGTGTGAGATTCTAAGAGTACAACACTCTGGGTTACAACGTGTCAATTGATCGTTGCCTAACTATAGGGTAGGTGCGATAATAATTCGATTCATTTGTACGTCATAATAAAATAAAAATACTTCTAATAATAGCCATCTCAAAATCACATAATTGGAATGATGACGGAGTATGAAAATTAAAAATGTATTTAGTCCGTAAGTTAAGTAATGAAAAAATATAAGACACGTATTTTTTATTTTGTCATGTAATAAAACAATATTTAAATAAAACGAATCAAAGTTTAAGAGTCTAAAACGTCATTTCTACGTACAAAAATGAAGTGACGTCACGCGACATTTCAAATCAATATATCGTCGAAAGTATTCGTTTCTGGAAGAAAATAAAAAAACTGTGTCTAATGATTTAAAATAATAACATTTATCTCTTCTGTCAAACGTCTGCTACAAGTATTTTTTTTGTTTTCTTTTTAAAACGTACAAGTTATTAAATAGTCACTATTACTGGGTCGACACGACTGTTTATACAACAAAATTATGTATTATAAAACTGTCTCTAGACGAAAGAAGGGAAGACAATCCTCACATCACGTCGGCAATCGCATTAAAAACTGACACAAACTCATAGGCAAGTCGTGCGTCGTCTCAGCTTGCATTTTTCTTCGATATCTTACAAGAAAACTAGAAAACATTTTTAAAAATAATGTTCTACCATGTAGTTTCGAGCAGAAAATTGCAGCACGTCATCCAACGATCTGTTGAATTCAAGCGGCAAATCTGGTCTTTGCAAGCGCTGTACGTACTCTTTACAAATACTAGGGAGCCTTGCCCACATCACAAGTTAAAGTATTAGGCGCACAATTTCCTCATAACAAGTTTCAAGTAAACAGCGAACTGAGGCAAGTTTGAGCAATATTTTAAAAATCAATTTAACACAGGATCCGGTATCCACGGCCGTACATCTCTGGCGAAGTCAACTGAGCGAAAGTTATTGTTTTCCCCATCCCTTAATGTTTTTGAACGTTTTTAAAAATAAGCCCCTAGTGGTTTATGTGAGCTGTCGGCGTAGTCGGCGTACTCGGAGCTCGTGGCGTAGTCGGCGCTCTTAGCGTATCATTGTAAGCTCTTCTCCACGCTACGTTTGCATCTTATCGTTTTATGTGATAAAGATTTGCTTTAAGTTGTTTGTCGTTTAGGTTTTATGAATCGGAGGCGGACTGTGATGATGGATTACGTTTTAGCTGACTTAAGATGGCGGATGTTTTTAAATTAGCGCTTGTTTCGTCTCTTCGAGAGAGTTTCGTTTATAAATAGCTTAAATCGTTCTTCACTTGTAAAAGGAAGTCATTAATAATAGATCAGAAAATTAACTTACTTGGTTATAAGGGACCAATTTCGAATATTTGGTGATGCCTAAATCCAACAGAGTACTATAGTTGGGCCAGCTGTTTGATTGATTAGGTACCTAATGAGCTTTGCTGTATAAGACCTAATCTTCTTTGGGAGATTATTATTAGTGCATTTTCGTCTCACATGTTGACAAATTGATTAGCTAGATGCAAAAGATGTGGAAATGCGAGTCGATGTTTTAAAAGAATTCATTTTAGCATCCTTCGTATGGAAGCCTGTATAAGGTCTTTTTTTTAAGGGGGGGAAATCATGGAATGACTGCACCCGCCTGGGTGAGGGAAGGAGTGTCAGACTCTTACTGACTAAAAACCACCTGTTCCTACTCCTGCACTTCGAGCCGGAGCTCCGTAACCGTTAAGTTCTCAGCGGCTCCGGATCGGCATCAGCCTTATTGGTCCCCATCCGTGGTGGCCTGATGGCTCATTGAGGTGCCGCGCCGTACGCTCGGGTCTCTGTATAGGTAAAAGTGTAAGCAAAATACCATAAAATAATATATGGAAATTAAATATCTCATAAGCCCTCTGCTACACTTAGACCACAAAATTGCATTAACGTTTGGTACATTTCAAGTAAATTACTTTCTTCTTCATATTATACCACAAAGTAACGATTCGTTTGTTCAACGTTTAATTAACCAAGTATGAATTAGGGGCTGCCCCAGAAATATGTGGGGGCTATCACGTGAAATATGGGGCAATCGAGTTGACAGCAAATATATTCTCGGTTCCATGATATCATCGAATGTATTTTTTGTGTAATATTGTTACATGACATTATGGGTTTGATTACGTAAATGTGTTTTTTATAACAAGGGTGTACTTTATTGTAAAGTGATTTTTACCTGTGGAGGTAATTTTACTCAAATGGCGCTGTTTTGGTGATCGAAAAATGGTTATATCTGTGTCGAGTAAAATATGTAGCAGATATAAAATGATATCTAAAAATATCTCCAAATTGAAGGCAAATTACTTCTTATTTTATTTTTATTTATTTATTTACACTTTTTACACAATGGGTATACAATGATTAACTTGTTGTTGGCCGAGTGGTCGCAAATGCGTCTGCCGGGCCAAGGGTCTCGGGTGCGATTCCCGGGACGGGCAAAGTATTACTGTTTTTTTTAAATTCTCAGTAGTAGCACGGAGTCTGGAATTATGCCCGGTATATGGCAATAGGCTCACCCCCTATAACTCACTCATAACTAGATAAATAGTGAAAGGTGGGTGTTACATTGTACAGTGGCATAATGTACACCTCTGCCTACTATAAAAGGCGTAATGTTATGTGTTATGTTATACAATGAGGGACTTAATACCTAGTGGCATTCTCTAACAGTCAACCTTAGGTTTATGCAAAGAGACAATAGTGGATGTAAAAGTTTAACCTTGTTGTTTTTGGGTTTTTATAAATTTCTTTTTCATATCTTATTTTGTACATTTTTACTCAATAAAAAACCCTTACCTACAAAGTAGCAGACAACATAATACATTTTACCTTACTTCCACCAATTTTTACCGAACTCCCACTCAGAGCCAGGGGCTCAAAACACGAGGCTATAACACAAGAGTATGGCCGTCATTACTTAGCCTCTCACTGTTATTGGTCTGCGTAAAGATCCGATAACTGGCGAATCTTATTCAGAACCCACCAACACCCATATAAGGTTGTTTGCGCCTTCGAGTTACCCCACATACTGTGTTATGATAATCGTAGAGAGATTTTTGTAAAATGAGATGCTTGTTTGAATATGGACTGTTTAAGTGCCAATATGTTTTGGTTTGAAGACATTTCATTTCAATATGTGAGGTTGTAGTTGTTTTAGGTTATTAAATATTTGTTATTGAGCTTAAGATACTATAGGAAAGACATTTTTTGCAACTTTGATGCATCTAAATATTGTTCAATAATTTGTTTAAATATACGTTTAAAAAACCGACTTCAACACAGAGGGCTGTTTTGAATTCAGTTAATTAATATACTAAAACCTTTTTTTAAGTGTAAGATACACTTTTCTGACAACCGCATCAAAATCGGTTCAGCTAATCGCGAGATAGTCGCGTACAAATATATACACATACAGGTGAAACTGAGCATCTCCTTTTTTTGAAGTCGGTTAAAAAGATGGGACATTTAATTTTCGTCTATGTATTTGATTTTCACCCAGCTTTGAAACTTAGTCACTTCTGAATCATCAAATTATTTACATTCTTACTAGATTTAGAGCAAGTAGATGCGTTCAATACGTGCCACTAATGTAGACGTAGGCAGGCTTCAGGGTAGTTTCCAGGGTATCAAAATTAAAAATCTAATTAGCCCGTCAGTTAGATATTTTCTCGTAATAAGTTGCAATACTTAGATAAAATGGCGCTAAGTTTAGGAGTGGGAGGTAGTTACGTCATAACGTGCTACAAAATGTGGCACGTTGTGACGTCACACGATATTTCAGGTTATATATCGTCGTAAGTATTTAATTTTG